AATGTCCAAAAGTCAAGGCCTGGTTGGTAGGGAATTCAGAAGTCTGACTCCTTGACTGATTTGGTCAAGGAGAGGCTTTTTGTAACAACTCTTGAGTTGAAATGCATATTCCTTGTGTTTTGTGCTATAAAGTCAGTAAGAAATAATACTGAATAAAAGATTCAAGATGAGGGCTCCTCCCTGGTAGGAGTACTATAAAGTTATCAGTAGCCATTGCAGCATAAGCTTGATCCCTAGCCAGGGAGGTGACCCACATGGCATGTCCCACCCACTGCTCCCCTCAGCAGTGTATTTCAGTTAGTCTGCCTGTTCTCCCCACTCTGTCTCTAGTGAATCCTCTCATCCCCCCCAACCCTGCACCTCTGGCATGTACCCCAGTTCTTGATGCATAAATAAATAAATCTTTTTAAAAAAGATTCAAGGTCAGGCATTAAAACTACAGAATGGAAACTAAAATAATATCATTAATAATCATATAAATAAATTTCATCCGCAGGAAACAAAACAGATGACTGAAAATCAGATTAATGGCATGGAAGGAAAGACATGGGATAATCACAATGAATTCGGAGAAAAAAGGCATAGCTATTTAAGAATTTAAAATAGGTCCTCCCTGGTGGTGCAGCGGGTTAAAGCACAGCACTGAGAATCTAAAGCCGCTTCCGCATGAGTTCGATTCCCGCCTGCCCAGGAGGTGACCACATGGTGTGGCAGACCTCTCCTGGCCCGCCCACTGCTCCCCTCAGCAGTGTACTTAGTCGATCTGCCTGTTCTGTTCCCCAATCTGTCTCTGGTGAGGCCTCTCACCACCCCTGAGCCTCTGGCCTGTACCCCAGTTCTGTGTGCACAAATAAATCTTAAAAAAAAAAAGAATTTAAAATAAAAATAAGCTAATATTGGGTTAATTGATGTCCTGGAAGAAAAGCACCAAGATTAAAAAATAATAATAATAAAAGCTTTGTATAGAAAACCACTCATCTTGCACCAGGAAAACTGATTTAGAACAATAATCATAGAGATATATTCTGATGTATTGTTGAACTTCACATTAGATAAATAGTTCCTTTGGGCATCTTGAAGGAAAAGAAAATCACCTACAATGGAAAAAGTTTGACTCATCTCAATAGCAAATATTAGGAAAAAAGACAAAGGAGCCATGGCTACAGTTTTCTAAGGGAAAATGTGAGAGTCACAAATATTATTTGCAAACAAGTATTTGTTAAAGTATTAAAACAGTGGGGAGATAAGAACTCAGAGAATGTGGCCACTAGCCATTCTTTAGCATACTACTTAGCAAAAAAAAAAAAAAAATCCCACCTGCCAAGATGTGAAAAAAAATTAAAACCCAGGGGCCTTCCTGGTGGCCCAGGGGTTAAAGATTCAGCTTAATCAAGCTATTGCCAGCCACTGCAGCTTGAGTAAAAGTTAAGATTCTTAGGGGGCTGACTCACATAGTGCAGCAAACCTCTCTTGTCTAGCCCGCTGCTCCCCTCAGCAGTGTATTTCAGTAGATCCAACTATTTTGCTCCCCACTCTGTCTCTGGTGAATCCTCTCACCCTCCACACCTCTGGCCTACACTCCAGTTCTTGTAGGCATAAATAAATGAATTTTCTAAAACATTTTTTTTAAATCCAGGAGCAATAACGCTAGGATAAAAGGATTGTGGTAAGTACTGAATAATTTTAGTACAGAAGACTAAACATCTAGAGGAAATATGGCTTCCAAAAGCGGTAAATCCTATAAACCCTGACAAAATAGAGATACTATGAGCTACCCAAATTGGGAGTTGGTATATAGAGGTTGAGAGGAAGTATAATAATGTTAATTATCTCATTTTGCTGAGTAAGTAGTCAGTTGCTCTATTAAACAAGAAATATGGGATGTTTTGATTTACTCTTGTTTATGCATTTTCTTTGCCCATGTTTTTGGGTTATTCCTCATATCTTTGCTGACTTCCCTTTATATATTTTAACCAATGTGCATTGAACATTAATCTACATAAACTGAATACTTAATAAATGTTTTTGAAGTAATTTTACAGATTGCATGGTACTGTAAATTCTATGAGCATTGAGAATATGTTTTATTCATCTTTGAATTCTCTCAGCACCTGGCACGGGGACTTGCACATAGTAGACTGTCAATAAATATTTTTGAATAAATGAATTAACTTGCTTTGTTTCATATACATTTTGTTGCTAGAACAATGTCTGAAGACAAGCTGGAAATATAAGGAAAATGAACTGTAATTGGAGAATATAATAAAGCCTGTCACCTACATCTGAGAAATCTATTATAAATGCTTCTGATGCCTCATTAACAGCATTCTATTACTTTCAGAATACATTTTCCCAGGGTAAATAATCTCCTCTTGCTCTAATTTAATCATTCACACTGTATCAAAACGATCATTTCCAAATCCTGTCACTTCTTTGCTTAAAAACCTCCAGTGACCCCTTACTGGCTTACAACAGAATCCAAATTCCTACGCATTGCACAGAAGGTCCTGTGTGAGCTGGTCTCAGTCCAGCACTTTCCAGTCAGTTCATCCCATATACTATCTATGCAGGAGTATGTATCTTTTGTGGAGCATATTATACTCATTTGATACTCATTTGGCTTCTTTGTCTTTGCTTTTCTAAAGTGTTACTCCTCAGCCCACATGTTCTTTTGTCATTTGCACTCATCACGATACTATTCCAACATCAAAGTTTTCTTCTTAGGCCTTCACCATCTTCCATGTTTAAATAATTATACCATTTGTTGTTCTCATGAAGCACTTTTCTCATGCCCAATGTATTGTATTATAGTGTTGACAGAAGTAAAAGCCTCACTGATAATTATCTGTGAGAACTGCTTTAATTCCTGTACATTTGAGTTCAGCTTATGTCCTTGTCACAGAGTTGCATACCTGCAAGGGAAGAAAAGAAACAGTGAGTTAGTAATGTCACTGATCCTCACTAGTAAACTTGAGAAAAACAAAAGGTAAACAAAGTTGGATTTTGTATGAGCTCTTTCTTTTTTGTTCTTCTTAGGCTTATGCTTGTGGAAGCATATATAATCAGAAACTGGTAAATTTTTGTTTCACAAAGTGTTCTGTATTAGGGAGAGTTTGAAGCTCTTTTGAGATAAAATATATAAGCATGTTATAACTGGTCTTTCAATGAGGTGAGCACATAAGCTAATATGATTTTCTTAGGCTGAGCAAGAATGTTACACACACATTGGAATAATAGCTATAATCTCATTGTTGATTACATCTATGGTCATATTTTGTAGAAAGACTGCATTCAGTTCCTTAGAGCTGTTCTGGATTCACAGTGCTTAGATTTTTTTTTATGCTAACAGCTGCTTATTTACATAATCTGTTAAAGACAGTATCCTACCATTGTGCTATTGGATTTTCTCTAGGTTCTTGGACATTTTCTCTCTCTCTTTTGTAGATTCCATTAACAAACAGCAATTAGCCTTCAACAAAAGTTTTGCCTGCCTGAAACTTTCATTATTTTTCTCCCATCCACACACAAAAAGCTGAGATTTGTAGAATATCATCTTAGCATATTAATAATTTTACTGTTTCCAAGACATTCCTGAAATTCTTAGTTTTTGTACAAATCTTTCCCTGGAATTTAGATAGTATAAAATATCTATCAATTCCATTTAATTCAACATTTAGTAAATACCTACATTTTTCCTGCACTAGGCTACCTGCTTGGGTTACAAAGTAGAGGGATTTAAGTCTAGTTTTATGGTAGAATATTTGACTCACAAATCTCCTCTAGTGGCTACTGAATGCCACAAGGGAGAATGCAATTAATCAGGAGAGCAATTCAGGCTGTGGAGCAAATAACTGAAGGGGGGTGGGTGTCAGGGTCCCATGCAGAAAAAAAGAATGGGTGAAATATGGAAATCCAAAGACACTAGGAAAGAAGTAAGCTTTCAAGGAGGGTGTTTTCCTAGGTTAATGCAAGATTTTAGTTTTGGAATGTGTTCTACAACCTACAAACAAGAATAGTGTAAATGATAGGAGATTCTGCATATCTCATTTTTGCAATAATATATTTCTTACAGTATTAGTATTCTTTGTTCTTTTACATGGTTCTTTTATAGTTTCCTCCATCAAAAAATCTGGAGGGAAACTATTAGGTCTAAGTGAAGTTTTTTGTAAAGAATGTGAGGTGGTTACATGTGGGGTCACAAAGAAGATAATTTTTTTTCTTTTGTTTTGCATACCTTGTGAAATACTCAGGTGGTTTGTGTAGGAAGTCTAAAGACGTGATAATTCTAGTTCTAAAGGTTGAAGGCAAGAATCCATTGCTTCTCTGCTCCACACGCACTGAAGGATCACGCTTGAGTCTCTTCCTTTTGTCTTCTGAAGATAAAGGGAAGTAAAGGGTGTTAAGAGTGAAGGGTTTGCTAGGGGTTAAACCTGGGCGCTTAAGAACCTCTGGGAGCCCTGAAGCTTTTACTAAAGTAGCTTCTGTAAGGCAGATGCTCTCCAAAATAAGAGGACTGGAGCCGAGATGTCCGTAGGGCATATATAGGCATAGTGCAGGTGGGGGGCAGCCGCCTGGTCCGAGCGGAAGGTGCTTCCATTCTGCAGGTGCAAGGATTGTAATCTCGGACCACCCGGGCTCCCGAGAGGGAGGGAACTAAGGCGTTGCAGGTGTGGGACTTGGCTCCTGAAGAAAAAAGCCCAATGCATTCCAGGCAGCAGGCACCCTTCAGCCGGGTGCCCACACCTGACTCAGGGGAGGGGATACAGCATCCACAAGAACCGCAAGAGGAGCCCCTGGTTTGGGACGCGAGAGGGCTGGTCCCGCTAGACTGAATCCAATTGCTTTTCCTTGATTGCTTCTCCCACCTGTCCATCATTCCAGAGAACTATTTTTATTGGCTCTAGAATATGCCACTCGGTTCCGCCGCGCTAACCCCCATTGGCCCCCCTCTAGCTGAAGCCCCGCCCCACGAGCTGGGCTCGGGCAGTGGGGCGCGGAGAGCCCAGCGCTTGTTCTGGGCTGGGGGAGGCGGTGGCGGCTGAGAAGGAGGAGCGGGAGGAGGAGCAGGGTCAGCGGGAGGCAGCGGCGGCGACCAGGCTGGGGTGATGGTGCAGGTGCCCGGGGCCGGCACTGAGCTGCCCGGCTAAGGGGCGCCTGGTCCGGGGTCCGCAGCGACGCCGCGTCTCCCTGGGGCGGGCCAGCGGGCGGGAAGATGCTGAGCAGGTTGATGAGCGGCAGTAGCAGGAGCCTGGAGCGCGAGTACAGCTGCACCGTGCGGCTGCTGGACGACAGCGAGTACACCTGCACCATCCAGGTCAGTGCCGCCTCGCGCTGTGCCGCCTGCGCGCGAGACCGTTGTCCCCCAAGTCGGGCCGGTGTGGCCCTCAGCGGCCGCCTGGCTGCCCTCAGATCCCAGTGCTTTGTCCGCCCCTAGCTGCGGTCGACGGCCGGGTATAGGGCGCCTCCACCCGAGTCCCTGACCGAGGTCGAGCTCCTGGTACTGGCGCCTCTGCCGGGCGAGTCCTAGCGTCCCGGACCCCCAACTCTTCTCTTGCCTGATCCCGGAGTGAGGGCGCTCCATCCTAGCTTCTCAAGCCTGTTCGGGTGGGGAACGTGTTAGGCTGGCGTTAGGCTAGGGGCGGGGGTGGGGGGGTGTCAGTCAAGCAGGACAGGAGGCTCCTAACCTGGCCGCGCCGTCGGGGGGTGGGGGGTGGGGTGGGCACGAGCATTGATTCCCAGGCCGGGCGAGGACGACTGGCTGGATTCTCTTGTCTTTCTTTGGTTAGAAGGATAATGGTGTATGTCATAATCTCCCCCCCCCCCCCACCAGCATTTGTGAGTCAGAGCTCTCTGAAGGTAGAACTGAACGCGCAGCCCATGCAGAGTGGCCTATTGAAGGGAGCCCAGCCCTCTGAGCTTCAAAGATTTAGCACACCCCCCCCCACCCCGCCTTTCACTCCTTCAAATCTTATTGTGTTGGAGGGGCTTTAGGAAAAATTTTAGCAACAAGTTCCAGCGATATGAGGTTGGTGGTAGCTAAGCTAGAGAGAATTGGTGACTTAGAGAAAACGCCAGCGATACGGTAATGCTGCATAGCATTTTTTGAGGACCTGGTATTTTGAACAGGTTTTTACTACATCTTATGTTTCTTCGTTGCTGCTGTGTGGCACGTCAGGAGTAGTAGTCTTTCCCAGGAATGCAGTCACAGCCCGATCTCCTCCTTTATAAAGTCAGATAGAAAACATTGACAATGCTCTGGTGTTTAGTTCAGCAGCCGGGAGCATCCTGCGCTCCCTGCCGGAAACTGCTCTTTCTGGAGAAGCAAATTGAGTTGGAGCGGGAGTGGTCTCACCTGATCTTGTCTTTGGAACGAGAGAGCAGTGGGGGCTTCTTGCCTCAGAAGTGGCAAACAAAAACTCTTGGCCGGGCCGTACTCTCTTTGTCTACCGGCTACCCTGCCCACCCCCACCCCCCTCACCCACCCCTTCTAATTTTTTTTTTTTTTGCTGACAATGCTCAATAGCGGAAAATAGCGGTGTGTGTGAGAAAGACTCTGGGTAGTGGATGAGAGCAGCTGCTCTCTGCTGACTCTCTGCTCTGTTCGGTTTTCACTCTACTTTCCCTTTCCCCCCAGCCCTTAAAACTAGCTCTAGGCATAAGTGCTGACTGCTGTCAAAGATCCTTGAGCATAGAGAAAGAGATCGCAATCTCTTCTTAAAGCAACTTAAATACATATTAAGCAGTCAGGATGCTAGCCAGTAAGTGGAAGGACTTTTGTAGTTGAGTATGCTTGAGATGTTCGGTGTTTTTATTTATTGTATGAATGGTATACTACATTTTGTTCTATTGTCTCTTTTATGTGTCTTGTACAGTTTTTTTTGGTGAGGGAGGAAGGACCTTGATTGAGTTGACATCACCATTTGAATACATTTACTAGAGATTTTGAAGTCTATCTTTTTGTTTTAAATTTTAAAGTATTCGTCCAATAGCATATCAAGGACAGAATGAGTTTTAGACTTCAAGAATCATGAAAATACTCCTGGGGTATGTAGTGAAATAAAATTTTTGAGGCAATTCTTAACTTTTGCTAAGGAACAGACTACAAATGAAACAATTCAGTCACTCCACTGATAATAATCTAATGGTTTTAAGGTATAATACTAGGGCAACTAGTTATTCCAGTTAGTGGAACCTTTAAGGGTAGTTAACTGGTATTCTAGTTGTGGGTTTTTTTTAACATTCAAAGAAAAACTTACTGGGTCTATACTTGCAGTGGTCTACTATGGTTGTGTCTATTTTCCTGCTGGACTTATTTTCAATTATTACAACTAATAATATAAACATTAGACCACTTAAAAAATTAAGCCCTGTGTATTATGGCCACATTAAGTATCCTTTGCCTAGACACATTGATGATTATGTAGTGTGATTCTTGTGTGCAATGAAAAAAACATAGGAATTGTAAAGTGTATGTAATAATAAGTGTGTGTAATTCTTTCATACCACTATTGTGAATTGCTTGTTTTTACCCATGTGAGGAAATGTTAGAAAAGACAGTATGTTCTGTGAAATTAGTATTTTGTGTACATAGCTGTTTTTGGCCTTTAAGTCCAACTTTCCTCCACTGTACAGTTCCATCGTGTGTGCATACCCAAGCATGTTTTTGCTTATTTGATAAAACCCTGTGCACAGGGTCTTAAAATAGTATGAAAAACCACTGTGAGCTACTTATTTGGCTAATGTAATGTTTCCAACATTTTGATAATTGTCATACCATATAAGTTTTTTGGTGATCATTTCAACTCTTTTCCCCTAAAGTACGGTATGTCATGTTTTTGTTTAAATCTGTCTATCTTAGAAAGATTTCAGTGCTTGAGATTCTCAGAGGCCAATTAAGGTATTATAGAATCAGTGATGTATTGCTAAGTTAGACACTAACAGCCACATTTGATAAATTTTCATTGTAGGAAATTCTGCAAAATACTGATTAACCATTTATATTGCAGCTGGTATACTGTTTTGGTATTTAGATAGCAAAAATGTTTTAAATCTTCTCAATGAAGATCACACAGTTACTAGACTATTCTTTTCATTCTTCCTGATATGTAGTTGTTTTGTAAGCCATGGAAAATAAAAATGTACATAGGAGGGTTGTAATATAATTGTTCCCATGTGAAGAACAGCTTCCTGCCAGTTGTGAAGGTCATTGCCTTATAAATGATGATCTGGTCCATATTTTTACATATCTGTTTCATTTATGCAAACATTTGCATTTACCACATTTGCTACCTTATTTTGTTATTTTATTTGGGAAAAAATAACAAAAAAAAAGGCTACCTAGTTTCTTTGAACTCAACAAATGGAATCTTTTAAATGCCTAGAACCTAAGGAATAGATTTTTAACTATCATTCAGGTTATAATAGTTTGTGAAATAAATAATTTATGCAGAATTACCAGCAAATTACATGTTGAAAATTACATGATTTAAAGTCAGAAATACTAATTTATTTTCTTTGGCGGTTACCGAAAAGTTGAAATACCTTAGAAATGAATTTGATTTTATTGGATCATACTAATATAACAACTCATTCCTCCCAAATGAAGGAACTTGCCCAAATACTGGTGTTTTTATATATAAATTCTATCTTCTGAGATCTCTAAATGATCCTATCCATTCTGACTCTCCAACAGAAACCTTTTTGTTCTTTAATTTTCTCATCTGTAATATGGAAAAATTAGTACTTTGTTTGGAGAAAATTCTTTTTTTTTTTTAAAGATTTATTATTTATGCATACAAGAACTAGGGTACAGGCCAGAGGTGCAGGGTTTGCTGGAGAGGGTGGTTAAAGGATTCACCAGAGACAGAGCAGAGAGCAGACCTATTGAAAACACTGCTGAGGGGAGCAGTGGGTGAGACAGGAGAGGTCTGCTGCACCATGTGGGTGGCTGTGGATCTGTGGATAGCTTCATAGTGCTGTGAAACCCCTTTAACTTCCAGGAAGGGCCTTGGAGAAAATGCTATATAACTATCATTAACCATACTAAGAACAATTTAAATAGCCTATTATACTATGATTACATTGTCCCTTATTTTGTTCAACAACAGCAAAAATAAAATTTATGTTTTATGTTTTCTAGGAAAATAAATCAATTTGTTTTCAGTCTTGAAATTTCTGATAGTTCTTTATGAAATTACAAAATCCAAGCTGATAACTGGATTCATCATTAGGACTCTTCTTTAAAATTTAAGAGTTCAGGTTTGCTTCTTCCTTACTAGTTTTGACTTTAGGAGAGGTCTATAGACTAGCTCATATTTCCCTTTTTAAAAAAACTTTCATGTTTGGTAAGCAGAATCCATGGTTCATTAATGCAAAGAGGATGTTGTTGGAGAATTAGGATAATTTTATTCACAGAGAAAAACACAGAACCATTGTTTTTTCATGAGTATTTTTTTAAAAACCTTAAAAAAAAAAGTGGGCGCTTCCTGGGGGAGCAGTGGGTTAAAGCACAGCACTAAGAAGCTAAAGCCACTTCAGCATGAGTTCACCGCCCAGGAGGTGATCCACATGGCGCAGCAAACCTCTCCTGACCCACGGGCTGCTCCCCTCAGCAGTGTACTTAGTTTATCTGCCTGCTCTGCTCCCCACACTGTCTCTGGTGAATCCTCTCACCACCCCTGCACTTCTGGCCTGTACCCCAGTTCACAATAAATAAATAAATCTTTGAAAGAAAAAAAAACTTTTAAAAAGTAATTATGCTGTCTCAGGATTTTTTGCAATAAGCAAGTCAGTTAACCTCATAACTCTTAAAACTAAGATAGTTACAAAAGCAACAGTCTGGAATTCGAAAAATATTTGTAGTGTTTTTTAATCTATATATTAAAACTTTTCTTGTATGAAACTACTATGTATCAACCCTATTTGTATGGGAATTAAGGTCAAGATGATTATTTATGCTCTCATTCTTTCTTTCTTGAAAAAGTCCTGTTTAAGAAAGTCCCAGTGCATCCAAAAGAAACCTAGAAGCATTCCCCACAGCAAATTTTACTCCTGGGTGTTTGTATGAATTTGCATTCATCAAGTGCTTGGAATAAATATGCTATAGGAGGCAACTTAAAATAGTACATAATAAAAGAGCATGTGTTTTTGAGTCCCCTGTTATCTTGCCCAGAGATTCATTTATCATGTCTGTGTTATTAACATCAAATGTAAAAAAAAAAAAAGACACTTGCCAAATAAGACATGATGGCAGGAAAGTTATTTCTGTTATTCTTTTGTAGTAGCTTATGTATAGGTGTTAAAATAAGGCAATAA